TTGATCAATCTGCACAAACGAAACAAAGAATGAAAAGTGCCTTGAAAAAACTAGGAGAAACCGACACAAAAATGAAAAAAAAAATCCTGACAATAGAAGAGCCTCCTGGTATATCAGCTGAAGATCATTTAACTTCTAGGGCACTATTGAATTATGATTTTCCTATGTCTGGTAAGCAGGCTCCAGATCCAGCTTGGAGTGAACATGCCAGCAAGAGCCGAGCTTATTCCTGGGCAAGAAAAAACACAATGTTTCATGAGGTATATGATGTTGTACTGTACGTGGGTATCATCGACATATTGCAAGACTACAACATAAGTAAGAAGATTGAACACGCATACAAATCTATCTATTCAGTTTGATTCTCTGTCCATCTCTGCTGTGGACCCAACATTCTACTCCAACCGCTTTTTAGAATTTATTCGGAAGGTGTTTCCTTCGTCCGTTGTAGCAAGTTAAAAGCACATTGCAAACTTTTCTTTGCCTCTTGTTGAGAGTCTCATTTCCCTCCCATCCTTTTCAAAATGGTTACAACATCTCAAGAACAGCCAACGGAATTCTTTTTTTTGTGGGTTTACCTAGTGAAAGAGAACACATTCGATGCTGTATGTATTGCAGAGTACACAAAACTGGTTTCAGCTTATTTGTATCTCGTTCAAAATGTGTAGTAGGCTAATAAAATTTTCTTTCACATTTAGTTTGTCGTCTTCCTTTACTTTTCTTGGCTTCATCATTGGCACCTTGCTTGACATAATGTTGTTTGATTCCACTGTGTTGTTATGTGTAGTTTTTGTTATGTTTCAACTTAAAAAGATATAGAGGACAACAACCTCAAGGAGTTGTATTGTTGTGTTGATACTGGGATGCGTCTCCACAATCTCTTCCAGTCCTTGTGTTAGATGGTCACTTCTGTTTATTCGGCTGAAAAACCGTGGCTGTCATGAAGACGTTATTCAAGTCCTTGTGTTAGATATACAAATTTTGTATTTTTACAATTTTTTGTGATCATTTACAATTTTTACGGGCCATTTAAAAATTTTTGAGTCTTAGTCGATCTTAAGTAACCCATAGTTTGTATCTCAATCCACAAAACTTATTATCTTTAACTTCACAGTACCAAAATTTATAGTCTTCTCCCACTCAAGTGACCTTGAAAAGTAAATCCAGACGTGCAGCCAAATATACTTATAATCCGTCAGGGCAGCTTGGGTAGAAATTAGAAAAGTTTGTTACCCTGAAAAGCAAGTCTATACGTGCAAACTCTGCATACGTGCACTGGAAAAATCACGCACATTTGGCAAATAACCGTCTTGCCAATTTTAGTGATAGTTGGAACGGTTCTTCTTTATGGAAAAACAAGAGGGTACTCATATGAAGCAATGAAAACAAGTTTGACTAATGGGTGATTGCTGCATCAATGGAACAGTAACAGAAGTGGCACAGTATACTGCACAAAAGACAGCAATACAATACATCTGAGAATTCACAACTGGCCTGCCTTCTTTGGTGGCTTGAGTGAAGAATCGTAAACCATTCAGCCGTTCAAGGACAGGCCCAGAGAAACAGGGCAACCATTCAGAGAACCACAACCCTTCTCTTCACACTCCAAATAACAAGATGTAGGAAGGCACACCAACTCATGAGCATTTTCATTCCTGACTCCTGAGTTCCTTGTGCCTTACGCTGCACATTTAATTTCTAGGTCAGCCTCGCCATAAAAATCTGTATTCCAAACTGGTAATACAAGTCCAAGAAACAGTGGGGGAACTGAAAAGTATACTGACGGAAAACACTCAAAACTCAGGCAACATTCCAACACTTGTACTGAGGCACTGTAAAGAAACTGTATCCAGCAAGTGAAAATAAATCTTACAAACCGAAGCCAAGTTGGTAACTGAATTGTCTGATGTTCTACATGTGTATAACATAAATACAAACACCTATTATCCCATGTTGGGAGGGGGTGGGGGTGGATGAACCCCCTGCCCCTGCATCTGTTGCCCTGGAAAACCTTGTGGAGGTAGCATATGAGGCCTTGCCATTTGTGGTCCTGGAGTAAAATTTGCCATCGAGCCACTGCCAACTGATGGTGGTGGTGGGGCAGGTAGATTTCCACCTGGTGGCATAGGCCTTGGTCCATTTGCCATTGGAGGAGGGTGCGGTGGCAACGATCCAGGTACAGATGGTGGAGGACCTCTAGGAGGATTTCCAATCGGAGCCCCTGGTGGAACTCCTTGTTGTGGAGGTGGTGGAGGAGGTGGAGCTTGGGGTGGTGGGGGCAAAGGCCTTGGCGGAACACCAGGAGCTGCTGTTCCATTGGCTGCAGGAGTGGGTTGAGCTTTGTTTCCCTCCGGTGGCTTAGACTTGAAGTATAATTGCAACTGCATGTTGGTTCATCCCACAGAATTGTCAGATGATACCCACAAAAAATAATAGTATCCATGATAGTAACAATAACTATATCAATGATAAACCAATAATTTGCAGGACCAGTCAAATTGAACATGTCAGGGAGGTAGATTGGTCCAGCCCAAAGATCTGGTAGCCAGAGTAGGTTAAACTGGTAACAGCAGGTGATGCCTTAATTAGTTTTTGCAAGGAATGAAGATCAGGAATTGGCCATCAGTTTAGCTGAATGATTTTAGAGAATTACAACAAAGTACAAACATGGGTCCACACTGTGGCACTGAACAACACAGACCAGGACTGAGCCCACATGGTGTCTTGGCTCACAATCACAGCGAAACAAAATGATCCAGGTTTATACCACCGTGTGGTATGTGTACTACATAATTATTTAGGAAGGCATAGTATGAGGTGGAATAGACGAACCGTAAACATTTTTGAGTCTGGATCCCAATGAGAGAAAAACTTGGAAGTTGACTTGTCAATTTCAGTACTTGGAACCTGAAAAATAAAGGTGCAGAGTCAGACCTCATTATTGACCAATACTTAACAAACCATTTATGAATACATTTAAATTCGTCAATGCAAATGCCTAATCAAATTGCCTTGAAAGAAATGATCTCATAGGGCTCAGCTGCAAACAGGAGAAACTGATATCTTTTATCAAAGGATTGGACTTTCTGCAACACAGAAGTAAAAGACAATGAAAGATTATGAAATGATACTACCATAAAAAGTGAAGCAGCAATTTCAATTGAATTCTCGACATAATTTAAAAAAAAAAGATTATTTAGAGCAAGTAGATCACTACAAGTCCATAAAGGAGACATTGAGCATCAGACTTGGAGAACATTTTAGCATACCTGCTCGAAGGATGACATAAACCGATGCCTTGGCCTAGTGTTGTCTTCAATCTCAGGATATTCAATCTACAATAGAACCGAAGTCAACCATAGGAAAACAGAAGGAGAAGGAGGGAAGGGGGGGGGGGGGGGGGGAAAGAAACCAGAAAAGAAAAACATCAGAGTTCTGCATATCAATTTGTATCTGCATTCTTACTGGAAAAAAGAAATTTGCCTAGAGATCTTTGCGCTTTTATGTTTGATATCTTTCTCTCCAATATCCCCTACTTCGGAAGCCCCCGCTTTCTCATGATTCTACTTTTCGCTCTAATTTTTCCTTTGCCAACTTTCACAATGACAATTTGCTGTTTTGCTTTGCTTCTCCATAGGTAGATCCAACTATTACTCCGGTAAAATTATTTCTTAGCTAATTTTTTCACTCTTGCAAAACTGAACATAAGTTCCATGGCCCATTCCCAATCTTTAGTCGTCTGAATAACATTCTTCGGATCTCCTTCAAGAGATAGGTACAAAATGTTCTCTCTAAGCTGTTTTTAGACCTTCCACTAAGCCTTTAATTGCATTGTCGATGGTTCTTTACTTAAACTCTTAGCAAGTGGAATTAATGGTTATCATTTTCCTCAATGGCTTTCCCATACACTTGTGTTTGAGTTGCTTGTTTCAAGTTACAAGAACTGCAATTTCTATGTTTTCTGATAATTCATCACACTACAATGTATAAGATAGTGTGCTGCAATACAGTTCCTCTCTACAAATCAAGATTAGTGTTATACATTTGACCCATGAAGATTAAATCTTTATGTTCAACTAACCTTGCCAGTTTCCCTCTCAACTTATTTGAATTTTAAAAAAAAAAAAAAACCCCTTTCATCATGTTTGACGGATTGAGCCTTTGAGAATATATTTCAGAACAGAAAGTGATGCAGATTTTATAAAATTAGCTTAGTTATCATGTGTGCTCCATTTCAAAAGCACTGTCTGCACATGCCTAGTACTTCCAGTTACAAGAAATACTTGCTGGACAATTTGATTGCTAAGGATCAGATCCCAACCTGGAAGAGAAGAGACCTTTGCTTCGTCTCGGGATCGAACTGCTTTGTCACACGGTAACCAGGCCTGCCAATTTTCACTGCAAGCCACAATAAATAAAATTTAGAACTTTTCTAAGGTCAGTAACATAAAAATAAGATTTAATGTAATCTTCAAAACCCCACAACTAAAATTAAATGTTAATATTTATATAATCAACCTATTAGGGACACTGCATAGCATTGTCGTAAAAAGTAAAAGTGAACAATGTGCATTTGCCCATTCAAGCTTGAGAGCAACTACATTGTGCAAATACTACAAACATCAGGAACCCCTCCCAAGTACCCATTACTTGGGATTGATCTTTACTTAATCAGTCTATTTCAATGCAGTTGAATTTTCAGGAATTGGGATTTGTCTGCTAAACATTGCAAACTACACTTCAGGGTCAAAGAACTTACATGAGTACAGACATAATAGTCGATTAGAGTTATTGATAGAAGACTATTATTTTACCTGATTTTCGGAGAGAGACTTTTCGCTTGTGAGGCTGAGGCTGAGCTGGTGCTTCTTTTGCCTCGCGAGCGGCTCTCTTAGCCAAATTGGTCTGGTGACGCTTTCCCTGTGTGTGAGCCAAGTAGTTCCCCTCATTGTTGTGCAGTGTCAGACACAGCTTACACTCATAGCTACAAAAACCCAATTTCACAACAAAATGGATTCCAATTATTTTATTACCTACATAAATAAATACCTCTGTGTAAAATAAATAAATAAATATATATAAACGGAGAGAGAGAGAGAGAGAGGATAAGATTGGACCTGCCGAGATGGTTGCGCATGAAATAGGGATCTTTAGCGAGATCGATAGTCTCAAGGGCGAGTCTCCGCAACCGTTCACGACGGTCGATGGCTTCGTTTTGGGCGGAGGCGGCGCCTCCGCTACCAGGCTTCGAACCCCACTCTCTGTCCATCTGCTTGTCTCTCTACCTCTGCTCTTTCTCTCTCTGTCTGTGGTGTGGCCGCTCGGTAATAATACAGAGCTCTCAGACGAGCATGAAGAATGGCTGGGTTAATTACACCGGAAGTATCTAAAGCACCGTTTTCAGAACCAGACCGGACCGGCCGGTCGGATCGGTTCAACCGTGAACCTGGACCTTAACCGGTCCGGTTCCTTCGTTGAACCGTAAGGAAACGAACCGGCTAAAAACTGGAAAATCAGCCGATTTTTAAAAAACCGATTTTTAAAAATTAAATTACATAAATAAATTTTTTTGCCCTAAATCAATAAATAGTTGATTTTTTTTAACATTATTCTTGAAAAAATTATAAATAACACCCTTTTTTTTTTTTTTATAATTTACTTGAACCTCTTTACTTTACTTTAAAATACAATAACCCTCACTTTGTTACTTAATTTCATTAATTTTATGGCAATTTTATGTATTTTATATATATTTTATATTTTTTAGCTAAATTATTAAGTTTTATAATTATTATATATATTTTTTTATTATATGACCGGTCCGACCAGTTGATCCAACGGTTGAACCAGGAACCATTGACCCGATCCCCTTGCCAATTCGATGATCGGTTCGATTATGATAACATTGATCTAAAGCAAGAAGTTTGTTTTATTTTGGTTTATAAGATTTTAATTATATTATTTTGATCCTTAAAATATTAAATATATTTTTATATAATCTCTCGATCAAAAATTATTTAAATTATTACTAATTTTTTATCACAAATTTATTAAGTGATACTTAAATATAGATAAAAAATAATTTAAATAATTCTTGACAAAAAATATGAAATATGGATTATTCTTGACCAAAATTTAGATAAAAGATTAGTTAAGAGTTATCAAAATTATTTTTTTATTCATATTTAAGTATCATGTGATAAGTTTATAATAAAAATTTATTAACAATTTAGATATTGTCTGTTTGAGTGATTATATATAAAAATATATTAAATAATTTAAAAATTAAAATAATGTAATTAAAATTTTAAAAATTAAAATAAAATAAACTCTATATTTTAAGGACATCGAGTATAATTAACTCAAAATGGGCGGATGGATGATACTTTCCTAGTTTCCTCATGTATAGAGCAATTTTCAGAGACCTATAGGACGGGTCAGATTTGTTGGGCCAGCAAATATACTAAAGAATAACGGATATTTGGCCGTAAGTATTTTTTTTTTGTTATTATGTACTTACCAGAAAAAAAACAAAGTATCTTTTTAAGAACTTATTTGACTTTAGTATTATAGTCAGACTTATACTCTATTAAATTCTCTTTTTCATCGAATTATTGTCATTAAGTACACATTTCAAATTTTTTTTTTTTTATGGTATTATCTAATTATTACTATCATAAATACTATTTATCATTGTTAGTTTCAATATTTTTAAATATAATAATTCATAACTTGGGAATTGTGCTAACATTAAAATTATTTTTCTATCAGCTCTGATGGTGTATTTCAACGTGATGAGAATTTGTGATAACGAGTAAATGAAAAAAAACAATATTGGAATTGTTGGGATTTAAGCTACTAGACTCGAATGAATGATACTGAGAATTGGGGAATTAACACAGTAGGAATATAGTGGTTCACCAGCTCGGGAGCTCGGCTAATCTACTCTTTAATGAAAATTCTTGTTCCTTGTCTTTTAATAATAATGATTGCAAGAGTACAATGACTAGTTTTTGTCTCTAGGGTTCCTCTTGTTCCTTGGGGGCGTTACATAGTATTTATAGGCTGTTCCCTATTCAGTGGGATCCTAGCCGAGATTCTTGTCTTTATTTCGTGGGGTTCTCCTTGATTATAGGAGAAGATCTTGGTTGGTTGAGATTAAGTGCCTTAATTATTGCTTCCTAACGCTTTTAGGAACCTCTCGTGATCTTTCAGCTGTTGTCTTGGTTGTTATTGCCCTTACTTATCTCGAAGGGACCTCCAACTCTACTCTTCCGAGTTCTGTTCGTCTAGTCTGACCTCTTGGGCTGAGCTGGCGTTTGCGATTTATTTTGAGGTATGTATCATCAGTTGCCCCCCCAGCCCTTGGCCCAAGCGAGCTTGGGCATGGGCTGAGCTGCTTTTACCTTGGATCAGACCTGCGCCTAACTGACCTTAGCCTGCATGTGAGATGCACATGGGAGGGGCTTTTTGACGGTACTTCCTTGGTTCCCGCGCACGCCTCACCCCACGTCTTTCAAGCCTTAAATGCTCAAAACGGTTGAAAGAAAACACACAAAACTACCGTTTATCTTCTACGCTATTCACCTTCGTCTCCGACTCTTTCTCTCTGTGATTTCTGGGCTTTTCTCCACGCGATTCCCTTATTCTCTGCTCTAGACTATGCTTTTTGGGTTCGACTCGAAGTCCTACTTTGTTCTTCTCCTCCAATTTTGTTCTTTGGCTGATGTTTGTTGCTCTCTTCCCTGTCTAGGTACGCTTCCTTCTGTCCTTTTCTCTTTCTCTCGCCTTTCCTCACTCTGGATCCCTCGACTTCGAGGTGGCCATTGTTTTTCTGGGTTTTTCGGTTCTTTTTCTTTTGGAATCGTGATTGTTGCCTATCTCCTTTTCCCTGCTTTGTGGATTGGAACTCCACTGTGCGAATTCTTACTGTCGAGAGGTATAGTGCTGACCCTAGAATTATAAGGGAGTGTTTAGTTAGTATTCCTCCTTTTTATAATTCTTTCGACTTGCCTTTCTCTTTGCCAGTCATGTCTGCCTCCTCTGGAGCAACTCCCTCCTCTGTTTCTCTCTTAGGCGACAGGTCTGCTGAGAGAGATTCTGATTTAGGGGATGTACGTGGTGAGATTGACAACTTTTTCGGTGTTGAGGCTATCGATATCGAGGTGGACTCCAAGGAACTCCCCTCATCTTCCTCTCGTGTAACTCCTAGTGTTGACAAGGGTAAGGGCAAGGTGAGTGGTGTGGGAGTCATTGGTTCAGGCGTAGGGGCTGACTTCAGGAACACTGAACTTGTAGGTTTCAGCGGACTTACCCCTATTAACCTGAAGGTTTTCAATGCTCGCTTTTGTTTCCCCTAGGGGTTCAGCCCTGGAGTTCTAATGAGTACACTACATATGTTCACCATGTCCATAAGAAGGTTTGTTTCTTCTTGGCAGCTTTTGATAACGAACTTCGCTTCCCCCTTCATCCTTTTATCAAAGTTGTCCTTCAGCACTTCAATGTCTGCCCTGCCCAACTCTCCCCCAACTTTCTGGGGTGTTCTTGTGGGTTTACTAGTCTTCTTTAAGGACCATAAGCTTGGGGTCCCTATTGTTTTTTTACTTATAGAGATGTTCAATGTCAAACAGACCTCCTCTGATGGCTTTCTGTATATTTCCAAGAGGACTAAGGCCAAACAGGTCATCTCTGACCTCTCAAGCTCCCATAAGGGTTGGAAGAAACGATTTTTCTTTATAGGCAGTACACAGTGGGAGTTTAACTCAGAGGATAAAGCTGATACCCTCCCAATCCCTACAGAGTGGTCTGCCCCCCGATAATTTGGGTATGTTTCTGCCCAGACCGTATTTACTCCAAGTCTGGCTGCTTTGTTAACTTATTTCTTGTTTTCCTTGATTTTCTAGGTATTCGACCTGAGCTCAGTGTTGAAGAGGAGCGAGTAATTGCAGAAATTGGAAAATTGTAAACTAGAGAAATATTCTGAACTCATCCAACCTTGGGCTCTCGTAGAACACAGGTTCTGCCTTCCTGAGGTGAGTGTTGAAGTACCCCTTCCACTTTTCGTTGTTGGCCCTACCCTGCTTTCCGTTGAAGATAAATCAGGTAACACTTTTTCTTTGTACCCTCTCTCCTCTTTTCTCAGTCTAAGGGTGAGGTTTAGTTATTCTTAAGTCCCGCAGGTTCATCATCAATAGAGCTCACTGCTGCTGAACTCAGAGCTAAACTTTCCCAAATGAAGAATATTAAGGGCAACAACAAGGGCAGCGCCAAACGCAAGTCAGGACCCAGCTCTGCCGATGGCTCCATTCCTGCCAAGGTGCCAAAGACAGGCATGTCACTCACTCCCTCTACTCCAGCTATCCCAGACTTCTCTTCCCAAGGCGTCTTTCCTACTACTCCAAGCGCTGTTGCGTCAGGACAGGCAACCCCCTTTGCTTCTGAGGTCGAGAGAGCTATGGAGACGACCTCCCAGATCTTAGCCTCTCTTAATCCGCCTGCTGCACCCGTCAATCGTTCCCTTCCTGAGGGTTCCAAGGCTGTGAAGGAGGAGCTCCTCAAGGTAGGCAAAAGTGAGGGCTCCTTTCTTGATAACCCCGACCTTGTTGCAGGCCCTCTCCTCTATTCTTCCTAATGTTGACATAAAAAGGGCATTTTCACTGTCTCTTGAGGATTCAATAAGCTCTGTTATTCACAAATTAATTGCGGTAAGTTCTAACTCACATTTATGAACTCCTCTTTCTTTTTGAACTTTCCTAACTTTTGTCTGTTTTCCTCTAGCCCCAAAGTTTGCTATCTATGCCAAGAGTTTGATGAACAGGGTCCTGTCTGCGAAGAATTATGTCAAAATGGTGAGGGCTTATGAAGTTAAGGTTGTCGAGTTGACTTTTAAAAATGATAATCTACGAGCTCAGCTACAGGAGCTTCAAGACAAAGTGAGGAAGCAGGCTTCCACCATTGAGGGCTTAGAAGTCGCAAAGGCCAAAGCTGAGGAGGGGGAGAGAAAGGCTAGGGAAGCATGGGCCAAGGCTAGCCAGGAGGCTTTTGCTGCTCAGAGCTCTTTTGCAAGTTTAACTAGAGATTTTGTTGCCCTATCTGATGCTAATAACACCTTTTGCAGCGCGTTTGAAGAGGTGAATGCTGCTATATATGCAAAGGATAAAGACACTGTCACGCTGCGGGATGATGTCGCAACCAAATGGGTCTCTAGGTGGCTTACTTTCCAAGGAAAAGCTGAGGAGGCCTACCCTGGCCTGAATTTCTACTTTGATGTTTCCAGCGATGAAGACACAGAGGTGGCTAAAGTAGAAGGTAAAGGTGAGCCCCCGGCCTCTTCAGACGTCCC